TATTGCTTGGTATTATAATAAAAAAAAATTGAAAATTTGGGAATAACTAACCATACAATATGATTATATATACCATACATAATTGTGCCGATTATTATTGATAATTATTTTTATTTATACTATATGCAATAATATATGAAATATATAATTACTTGAATACGATTGTTAAGGTTGTCAAATATTACTTTCGAAATTTGCACATAACACAAAATATATATAATAGTAAATCGGTATTCATTTTACTGATTAATTGAACATATATTTCAAAATTTAAAGGATGAAGATGAAAACAATATCGCGAAATAAAGAATCATTATTAATTTTTGTAAATTTCAAAGCTAATCATTGAACCTAGCAAATTTAAATCCTAAAAGTGTAAATAAATAATAAAAACATACAATAAGTTATCAATTAATTAATCAACTAATTAAACAAAAACATGTAAACCTCAAATTTTGAAAGTAATAATGAAATTAAATTGGTTAAAGTACCTACGAGGTCCCTGTACTATAGCGTTTTGTTCAATTTAGTCCTTATACTTTTATTTTGTTCAATTTAGTCCCTGTACTTTCAAAAGTAGTGCAATTAAGGACAATAGTTAACGATGTTAATATTATCGTTAACTTAGGTTACGTGGCACTGATGATATTTATATTCCTACTCATATATTACTTTATAAATATTTAAAATCTATCATTTTTACCACCAATATATTAAATTAGTATGTCCAAAATAAATAATTACAACCATGTTCGTAATGAGATTTAGACAATTGTCCTTAGTTTTACCACTTTTTAAAGTAGAGGGACTAAATTGAACAGAATAAAGGTACAAGGACTAAATTGAACAAAACACTACAGTACAGGGACTTCATAGGTACTTTGACCAATTAAATTAGATACGTAATGCCCTCCATTATTGAAGTCTTGACAAAAGAAATAAGCTAATTAATAAAGAAAAATGGTGTCAAGCACCTTGTGCTCAGATGGCATGTAGTGACTTCTTCCATGTGGAGAGGTCATGAGATCGAGTCTCAGTGGAGGTCTATCTAATAGAGTCAGTAGCGCGACATACAAAAAAAAAAGCCCACATGGGTACTTCAACTAGTCGTAGTGGTGAAATTTCCTCCCTCTCCATTGAGAAGTCAGAATGAGGGGGGTTCCGATGCTTCCTTGTGTACAGTGGGGGCGTTTGGAGTCCATTTCCAAGAATATTATTTCATAAACAAAATATGCTGTAAAATTTTTAATGGAGTGACAAATTTGATGTGTGAAATTAAATAGTCTCTGTTTGGTTAAAACTCCAGAAATCAAATTCATTTTTGGTTAAAACTCTAGAAATCAAAATCACCACTTTACTATTAACTTAAAGGCTAAATAATAATCATAAACTACTATGTATTGTGATGTCACTTTTTTGCCATTCCAAATGAGTGATCCTAAACTCACTTCCCCTATATATATTTTTCTTGTAAAAAAAAGGAATCAAAATGACAAAATGCTTCAAATTTTAGTTATATTTCACATATTAAATCGGTGTAGAGTTTGCAAATGATGTGTTGGTGGGCTGAGGATCCAAACTGCGATGAGTTGAAGTACCATTTGGCGAGGGTTCCCGATTTCTTATGGCTTGCGGAAGACGGAATGACAATGCAGACTTTTGGGAGTCAGAATTGGGATGCCACATTTGCCACTCAAGCCCTGATTTCTAGTGGCATGGTTGAAGAATATGGAGACTGCCTAAAGAAGGCCCATTTCTATCTCAAACAATCACAGGTGTGTTGAAAATGATAAACTTTTTTATAGACTAGGAATAAAAGATCCTCCGTATATTTTTAATATATTAAAGCTAAGGTACATTATGTACTTTTCAAATAATGTACTTTCAATATACAAATAATGCACCTTTTGTATATAAAAAATGTATTTTTTTATTAATGACAAACACAACTGTGTGAAACATGGTATATAGAATAATATAATATGATTGTGTATGTAGTTAACATATTGTGTACTTGCAGTTAACAGTTTATGTGTATGTAGTTAATATGGTATGTGCTTTTAATTTATTTACAAGACACATAAACTGTTAATTGTAGGTACATAATATGTCAACTGCAAATTTTTAGACCAGACTCCATAATACAAGATAGATGCTGGTCCATGGTATAGCTAGCAATTGTTTTGAAATATGACACGCACTCAATTCTCTAATTCTTCACCAAACTTTAACACTAAACTAGAGCTTATTATTTGAATATGGTGTAGCAACAACAACAATAATATTAATATGCAGATCAAAGAAAATCCAAAAGGAGACTTCAAAAGTATGTACCGCCATTTCTCGAAAGGGGCTTGGGCATTCTCTGATCAGGATCATGGTTGGGTTGTTTCTGACTGCACAGCGGAAGCCATTAAGGTAGTAGTTTAATTTGCATGCTGAAACGTATGTAAATAATTGATGGTTCCTGATACTGCTAATTATATGTAAGCAATATAAAATAACACGAGACCAATTAAAGCAAGTAAAATCTTTATTGATCACGGTAAAGGCCCTAAGTACAATCTACTTGGTTGCTCTGAGTACCGACTGAGTGCGGTCGGGATTCTCTAACAACAACCTATCGATCGTTCAAAAGTCCTCTACACTGTAGCTACTGTGGGTATTTATAGCCGCCGTGCCGGGGACAAGATTCCGGCCGCTCGGCATGTCTTCCACGTAGCCACCACGTGTCAACCTCCCGGGTGCCCTTCCTGTCAGCATAAAGAACCGCCACGCGTCCCTTCGCGTCCTTTTTGGCAGCTCTTTCGTCCAAGGGCTACCGCTCGGTGGTCGACACCAGCGTTCGGGCAACTTCCGGCCATTCCCGACCGGGGTCTCCATGGAAAAAGCCCGACCTGCCACCTGCAAAGATCAGAAGAGAAAGACAAAGGCAAGTCGGTCGTGGTGGAGCTTATGTCGGTCGGGATATTCCCTACCAAAAGCCCCCCAGCCCGGGCCTTTTTGATCAGTCGGGAAAAAACGGGACGGGATGAAGAAACCCAACCATCGGCCGCTAAACCGACCGGCCAGCTGTCATTCCTTCTTCGCCACGTGTCGGCCACTGCTGGCCTCTGCGACTGCAACCGTTGCCTCGGAATCAGCGCGGGTCGTGTCGCGCAAGTGGACGACTTTCCCGCCTAAATGTCCTCCTATAAATAGGCCCTTGAGGCCCTCATTTGAACTTTCCTCAGTCTTTTGCTTCAGTCGGTATCCTCTAAGAATCCCGAGCAGAGCATCTCAGCAAGGCGATCGAGCAAACAAATTTCAAGCTCTCTTTCGCAAAGTTCCTTCATCCGGTAAGCTCTCCCTCCTTCTCTTTACTTCACGCTTTCAACTATAGGTAGAACTGCTAGGTCAAGTAACTGTCCCGGACGACTCAAGTCCTTTACTAACCCCGACCGACCTTTAGGTAGAGCGAAATGACGGATTCTGACAGTCAAAACGCCTCGATTGCGGATTATGACGAGGAGGTCGAGTATATCAGCGACGAGGAAGTGGACATTATGTCCTGCACTCCCGAAGCCAGCCCCCGAGCAACGCCAGCCCCTGAGCGAGTCGTCGAGCATAGCAACGCATCAAGCTCCTCCGGGACGTCGAGCTCTAGCTCCAGCGGATCGGGGAGCTCCAGCGAAGAAGAGGAAGAGAGAACCACGTCAAGCGGGCGGGGTTCTCCGACCGAGGGCGTTAGGGAAACGCCTACCCGGGTGGTTGGGGACTACCCGGAAGCTGCTCCTCGAGGGGGTGATCGGGAAAATACCCCCGAGCAGACCGAAGAAGACCCGGCCGGGCCGGCCACACCAGCAGTCGAGCTCGAATTCTTGAACAGCGAGAGTGTCGAGCAAGAAATGAGCCTGCTGACCAAAGGCGAAGCGGCTCGGATTGCTGAAATACTCCAGGGTCGGGTAGAGTTCGACACGAGCCGGCAGCTGGGGAATGTAATTGACAGGCATCGGGGCAAGTGGATCGGGATGCATTACGACTCCCTAATGGCCCCGATTGCCATTCCCTTCCCGGCCCTCTTGACGGCCTTTCTAGCATACTATCGGGTCGTTCCGGCTCAGATCTGCCCGAACGCACATCGGATCCTCGCCTGCTTCCCGCAGATATGCACTCGGCACGAGGCCGAGTGCACGATGGAGTTGTTCAACTTCATCTACCAGATCAAGGTTCTCCCGGGACGCTACGGGGGCGGGTTCCTGATGCTGCAATCCCGAGCAGATATGTGCGCCATCAAAGGCCTGCCCGGGAACAACAAGGGGTGGAAGAATCGAATTTTCTCCATCAAATACGACCCCTGGATCCTCCCGGTCGATCGCACTTGGAGCAGTCACTTCAGAAAGCAAGTGGTGCCGGCCGTGACTCAGGCGCTCAAGGAGACGGTCACTCGGATCTCGAGTGAAATACACGAGTATTCCATCTTCCGGACAGCCGAGAGTCTCGCAGCCGCCAAGCTCCCGCCCCCACGTACGAGCTAAGGGAGAAGTACCTGCCCGTACCGATGGGCGTGACGGTCGCCAAGCCGTCGAAACGAAAGAAGAAAGGTTTAGCTCGAGCTGTTCCTCCCGACCTAGCTTCATTTCTTGATCAAACTAACTTCGCTCTTTTTATTGCAGCTATGGCCGAATTTGGTGATGAAGACACCGCCCTTCCCCCGCCCGCCAAGATCTCCCTCGGCGGGAAGAAGAAGACAAAGACCAAGGCGGCCGTGGAAAAGGAGATTCCCTCTGCCCGACCCCTGAGCGCCTCGACCGTGACGACGGGCGAGGGCTTCATCGTCGAGCAGCCTGACGTCTTGGTCACCCGGGTAGAGGTCGCCCGGGGCAAGGAGAAGGTCGCTGACCAGGGCGCGACCGAGGTGGGCAGCCTGAAGCGCCGCCGTGAGCAGCGCAGCCCGAGCCCTTCGGTCGGGCGAGAAAGGGACTCTGCGTCCATGCTGGCCCGGATCGGCAACGCCGCGCCAGCCAAGGAGGATCAGAGGAAGATGACCCCGACCCAAGTGGCCGAGCGGATCGGCCACGACCTGGCCGAGGTAAACTTTTCTCAACTAACAGCTTTCTTGCTCAAGTGTTTTTGATCGGGCTAATCCCGAACGTCTTTTGTTTTGCAGATTTCCCGGGCCGCCCAGCTCCTACAAGGTCGAGCCATGCTGGCCGAGGAAGCTGATCACCACAAGAAGACGACCGCCCGTCGCTTGAAGGAGATTAAGGACCTCCAAGCCGAGCTGGAGAAGACCCAGAAGGCCCTGATGAAGGGCGACGAGGAGCGGGTCCTCGCCGAGAAGGTCGCCAGTCGGGCGATTGGAGAGGCCAAGGAGCTGAAGGCTCAGCTCGAGAATCCGAGCGAGCTGGCGCGGGCAGCCTTCAAAGACAAGGACTTGGGCTCGGCCTTCCTTACAACAGCCCGGGGAACAGAGATCGAGGAAGAGCTGATCGTCTCGTTCGGTCGCTGGGGCTTTACGGCCGGGAAACGGAAGATGCTTGAACGAGTCCGTTCCCGGTTGGAGCAGGCTCTGGACGGGGAAGATCTTCAGCTGGTTCTCTCGGCATTGCCCCCAGACCTAGCCGATCCCGGTCCCTCTCCCTTCGCCCCCAAAGCCAAGGCATCTGAGCCCGGGGCACCAACGGCGGTCACCTCAAGCGGGAAGGGGGCGGCTGTTGGAGCTCAGGAGACGAAAAAATAGGCTAGGCTGTCTCCTCTTCTTTTTGTAAGGAGCATTGATCGGGAGCCCGGTCCCGATTTGTACCGGGCAGCTTTTGTTTGTTAATAAAATTTGTTTTTTGCTCCATCTTGCGTCGCTCGTCTCTTGTTTCCTTGCTTTCAATTTGCACACACTGATCATAATCACTCGACCACCTGGCCTTTAGACCCGGTCTCGCAATACTCGATCCGCTCAACGCTCGACCTTACGACCTTATGGCCTGGTCGTGCGTTCGATATTTCGACGTCAAATCTGGCCAACCGATCGGGTTTACCCGATCTCCGGGCCTTTGTCGAAAAATTTTTGAAGACAAGCCTCTACGGTCGGAATGTAACCGAGCGACGGGCCTGCAAATACTTCCTTATCCCAGCCCCCACACTATTGTGCGCTCGAGGCACGAGTGGGTGCAATAGTGGACAGAAGTTGGACGGATCGGGGAATAATGCTGAGAGCTCCTGGCTTCCCCGATCAGTGGCGTGACTCGAATGTCCGCCGATGTGGAGCGCATCTGACCGGTCGATAGATTCGCCCGGTCGGTGTAACTTGATCTGCATGCACTGAAGATATAGAAAATAACCGATCGGGCCACCGTATGCAAACGGTCGAACAATCACCGATCGTATATACATTAATTCTTCTCGCTCGCAGGCGGTTCAGTAAATATTTACAAACTTAGAAATTTAATTACAGGCGACGACCGGGACCCACACGCAGGTCAAGCCCCCTCTTCGTCCAAAGATTACAAAAAGAGGCCTAATGCCTAAACATAACGAGGTGCTCGGAATTCCAAGTCCCCTCGATTAGCCGACCAGTCGTCGTCTCTAGTCGGTATGTACCCGGCCGTATGATAGCGTTGATGATGTACGGCCCTTCCCAGTTCTGAGCTAGCTTTCCACCCTCTAGAGGTTGACTGGCCTCTCTTCGTCATAAGACGTAGTCTCCGACCTGAAAATAACGAGGGTTGACCCGAACATCCTTAGAACTCTTGACGCGCTTTTGATACTCGGCTATGCGCCGAGCGGCTAGCTCTCTTTTTTCTTCGACCCCATCAAGGTCCACGGCCATCGCGTGTTCGTTCTCTTCCGCATTATAGGTTCTCTCTCGATCGGTCGGAATCCAGGCCTCGATCGGAAGTCGGGCCTCAGCTCCGTAAACCAGGGCGAAAGGGGTCTCCAAAGTAGCTTCCCTCGGGGTCGTCCGATAAGTCCATAAGACATATGGCAACTCATCGGCCCAACTACGACCAGCCGAGTGTAACTTCTTTTTCAGACCTTCCAAAATCGTCCGGTTTGCGTTCTCCACTTGACCGTTTCCCTGAGGGTAAGCCACCGACGACCGGACGTGAGTCGTCCCGATCGTGGCCAAGAAGTTCTGGAAATATTGGCTTACGAATTGGCGGCCGTTGTCGCTGATGAGATGCACGGGCACACCAAAGCGGGAAACCACATTGCGCCAAAGGAAGCGAGCACACTGCTGAGAGGTAATCGTGGCTAAGGGCTCGGCTTCTATCCACTTGGAGAAGTAATCAATGGCGACGATCACGAACTTTCTTCGACCGGAAAGCTGAGGGAAGGGGCCCAAGATGTCTACCCCCCACCTAGCGAAGGGAATTGCGGTCGTGACCGGTTGATAGAAGGTTGCCGGTCGTCCAGGCATCCGGGCGTACAGTTGGCATGTCTCACATTCCCGAGCTAACTTTTCACAGTCTAGCTGGAGGGACGGCCAATAGTACCCGATCAACATGATACGACGGGCCAGGGATCGACCTCCCTGATGTGAGGAGCAGATTCCCGAGTGCAGCTCCTTCATGACTAACTCGGCCTCGAACGCGGTCAAGCAACGCATAAGAGGGCCTCCATACGATCGCCGATATAGACGACCATCCAAGACTTGGAACCTCGGGGCTCTCAACTTGGCTTTTCGAGCACGCTGTGGGTCGTCTGGGAGTCGACCGTGCTCGAGGTACTCCTTCAGGTCGGTGATCCAATTGTCATCTACCGGTTGGATGGGATTGACCGGTAGACGATGAATACTGTGCCTCGGGATCACCAAGATCCGAGCTATCTTCGACATGTGTTCCGGGGCGTCTTGAGCTAATTTGGATAAGATATCTGCATCGGCGTTATCCAATCGGGGTATGTGTCGGACGGTATATCCCCGGAACTGAGCGAGCTTTTCCATGGCAAGGTCTCGGTACAACTGCAAACGCTCACCATTGACTTCGTAATCCCCGAGAACTTGCCCGACCACGAGCGCAGAATCTGTTTGGGCTCGGATGTATTCAGCCCCCAAGTCCCGAGCGCATTGCAAGCCATTTACAAATGCCTCATACTCGGCTTCGTTGTTGGTCGGGTGGAACTGGTACATGAGTGCAAAATAGACTTTGAATCCTTCCGGGCTCGTGACCACCACTCCTCCTCCTGCTCCTTTCTTGCTACTCGACCCATCTGTAGCCAGCGACCACCACTCAGCCTCGGGATCCGCAACCTCAGGAGGCCGGGTATCCCGGGCGGTGCACTCGACCAAGAAATCCGCAAGAGCTTGACCTTTAATAGCTGGTCTCGGTCGGTATTCGATCGCGTACTGGGTCAACATTAACGCCCACTTGACTAGGCGGCCGGACGATGAAGCAGTTCGGAGGACTGGCCCGATCGGCTGATCGGTCAACACGCGAATTGCTCGACCTTGGAAGTAGGGAGCCAACTTCTTCGCGGCAATGTACAAGGCATAGACGACCTTATCTAGCCGGGAGTACCGGAGCTCGGGACCATGTAGCGCGTGGCTTACATAGTACACCGGTCGCTGGACCCCTTCCGGATCGGTTCGGCACAACACTGCGCTTACTGCGCGATCGGACACGGCGAGGTACACGTCTAGCTCTTCTCCGAGCTCGGGCTTTGAGAGCACGATTGGCGACATGAGATACTCCTTCAGCTCGTCAAAAGCCGCTCGGCATTCTTCGTCCCAGACGAATCCATTAACCTTCCGCAATACCTTGAAGAAAGGTAAAGCGCGCTCGGCTAGCTTGGAGAGGAACCGGCTGAGGGCTGCCAACCGACCGGTCAATTGCTGGACCTCCCGAACGGTGGAAGGTGGCTGCATGTCCATAATCGCTTTTACTTTGGCCGGGTTAGGCTCGATTCCTCTCTTGGTCATCATATAGCCGAGGAACTTGCCGGTCTGAACCGCGAATGTGCACTTGGTCGGGTTCAGCCGCAACTGGTACTTCCTCATAATCTGGAAGCACTCCCGGAGGTCCCGAGTGTGGTCGGATCGGTCCCGACTCTTGACCAGCATATCATCAATGTAGGCCTCCATCGTTCGGCCCAATAGATCGGCAAAGAGCATATTGACCATTCTCTGATAGGTCGCTCCTGCGTTTCGGAGGCCGAACGGCATCACTCGGTAGCAATACAGCCCGTCCGGGGTTACGAAGGCTGTCTTGCTCTCGTCTTCATGGTGCATCATGATTTGGTGATATCCCTTGAAGGCATCCATGAAGCTCATCAGCTCGGCCCCGGCCGTCTCGTCGACCATTTGGTGAATGCTCGGTAGAGGATAAGGGTCGAGCGGACAGGCCTTGTTGAGGTCGGTGAAATCAATGCACATCCTCCAAGCTGGGGGCTTCGGAACAAGGACAATATTCGCCACCCATTCGGGATAGATCACCGGACGGATGTGCTCGATCGCCGCCATCTTTTTGACCTCTTCTCTGACAAATTCGCGGCGATCGGAGGAGAGGTGTCGTGTCTTCTGCACGACCGGCTTAGCTGCGGGATCGACGGCCAACTTGTGACAGATGACCGACCGATCGATCCCGGGCATATCTTCAGGCCCCCATGCAAAGATATCAGCATACTCCCGGAGCACGGCCAGAACTTCCGCTCGGAGCTCGGGGGTGAGGGCTCGGCCAATCTTTATCTTCCTGTCCGGGCGGTCCTCGGACAGGGGTACTTCTTCAATTTCTTCGGAAGGTTCAGGCTGCTCCTTCCGTTCCTTAGCCTCCTCTTTGGCTATGGTGTTCACCCGGGAAGATGGACCGGAGTCACGTCTATTGACCGCTCGGGTATAACACTTCCGGGCGGACTGGACATCGCCACGGACCACGCCGACCCCGTTAGGGGTGGGGAACTTCATGCACAGGTGGGGCATAGAAATTATCCCACCGATCTTCATAATGGCGGGTCGGCCCAAGATAATGTTGTGGACGCAATGGAGGTTGACCACAACAAATTCCAGCTCCGTTCGGATCGACTTTGGAGGCGTGCCGATCTCGACCGGGAGCGTTATTTTTCCCTCGGGGTAGATGAGAGCCCCGGTAAACCCTGAAAGTGGTACACCGACCGGAGTCAGCTCCTTCCTGTCGAGGCCAAGCTTTTCAAACACGTCCAAGTATAGGACGTTCACACTGCTGCCCGTGTCAACCATAACCCTCTGGACGTCTGTCCCCTTAACGTCAATCGTGACCACGAGCGCCTCCATGCCGTGATCACCGCTGGTAGGTTGGTCCTCAAGGGTGAAGGTTATGGGTTCCATCTTCTGCCTCTTCCCGGTTCCCCGGGAATCCACTATTGCGACCGGGCAATTCGTCCGCGGTCGGGAAGCATCTTCCAGCCCACCAAAAATGACGTGGATGGTAGGTTTTCCGGACGGGCGGCTACCGGACGGAGGGTCGGGGTCCCGTCGGTCATCGTGACGATCGTCCCTTCGATCGTCTCTTCGGTCCTGACCCGACCGATCAGAGCGGTGATGAGATCGCCTGTGATCCCTCCGATCGGTATTTCTCTTGCTGTCTTCTCTCTTTCCCACACACTTGTCCAATTTTCCCTGGTTCAGCAGATCTTCCAACAATTGGCGCAAGTGGGTACACTCCTCGGTGTCATGCCCGGCACATCGATGGTAAGCACAGTGCTTACTCTTGTCAGGGCCGTCTCGATCGGGATGGGGGAGCTTGATGAGATTGCAGGACTGGGCGTATTGCATGGCCTCCGCCGCAGATCGGTTCAAGGCCGTAAACTCGCCAGGCCTGGTGCGGGATCGGGGATGGCCATCTCCCGACCGATGTTCCGCCTGGCCGGCCGG